ATACTGGATATACAGTACAGTGAATTGAAGGATAGAATTGGTAAGCATGGTATAGAAACCAGCTACCGGCCAGCCTGGACATCTTGGCATGGCTTCTCAGAGGAGTCAACCCAAGAACTGAGGGCTAAAGGATTCAGAGGTTCAATCGTGGGTGAGGAGCATCCTAGCAAAGGAACACAGGTGCAAGGCAGGTACGACAAAGGGACAGGCATGGATGGGAGAGAAAGCCAAGTGCTCTTCGTGGCCAGAGCAAAGCTGAGTGGGGAGACGAAAAAAGTTGGAGGCCAGACCATAAGCTCCTTGAATGCCACGCTGAGGAGACACCCCCACGTCATAAACTCCCTGATGATTTGATGTCATCAGATTTGCACTTCAGAATGTTCACTCTAATGGTAGAGCAGAAAACAACTCAGATGGGGCAAACCTAAAAGCTGAGAGCCTGGTTTGCAGACGGTAGGGGAGGTGCAACTGAGAGCCAGTGGTGCCCTGAGGGAAGGTAAGGGCACAGAGGTGTGAGTGCGCTAATGTGCCTGGTAAGTCGCTTAATGCAGAGTGTGTTTGTTTTCCATCGCTTTGAGGAATGCCTGAAATAATCAAGAAGGTAATGCAGGCATATGACATGCTGGAGAGAACTTCCTGTTTAATTTGACAAATGTCCACACAGCTACAAGTCGTCACAGATCCTCTCTCTTTTTCAAGTAAGGCAAATGATTGTGAAAGGCAAAGTACGACAAGGGCCACCAAGACCTGTTAGGAAAACAGAATCTCCCCTTTTGATACAGAGAATTGACTCAGCACTGTTGGAAAACCAAAGGGAAGGGGCCATGAGGAGACACCGGAGTAATAGCTGCAGGAAGTGCCCGGGGCTGGGGAACAAGTGGAAGGCGCTATACCCAGACCCTAGGAAGAGGAGCAGGGTGGGGCCCAGGTCTCTGAGGAGGGGCAGTGGTGCTGGGGACCCCGAGGGGCTGCTGCTGACAAGAAGCAGTGACACTGGAAGCACCAGCACCCTCCCCTGCCTTACTCCCCTGCCAGCAGAACCCTGCAGGAGGAGCAAGGAGGTTCTTGGGGGAACAAAAGGTGTGTTTGAAGATGAGAGAAAAGAGCTGATAATGCCAGAAGAGAGCTTCAGACAGTTGGCATTAGGGCCAAGGATGGAAGAGGACACTGGTACAGTAGAAGCTTCTCAAGGGCCAAGCCTTGGCTGTGTAAATCTATGACTTCGTGGCATTGTTGTGGCAGCCTGGCAGTCACCTCCCATGTCACCCAGACGGAGGCTCAGAACTCAGTCACCCCTGGAGAGGGGAGCAGAAGGGCAGCAGGGAGAATGAGTTCCCAAAGGACGGCTGGCCTGGAGAGCTGACTGCGTACAGACCTTCTGCTTTCCTGACTGCAATGCCCACCCCACTCAATCCAGAACTGACCCTGCCCACAGCAGACACCTGCAAATGCTGCACCACTGTGCTTTGGACTCCGCTGGGGAAGCCTCCCTGACCACCAGGCCTTTGAGCTCCTCAGCAAAATGGCAAACACGGTGGTTTGCACAGACCTGTGGGTTGACTGTGAGGACCAGCTCAGTCAGTATGGAAAGCACTTGACAGAGCAGGACATACACAGTAAGCGCTCGGGACACACTAACCATGGTTATTGTCATTGCTGTGTGTGCTGCCTGATTCATCGCATGAAAGGGACTTTCTGGTGTTGCTTACATGTAGATGGCTTGTGTATTTTGCAGTGGCTTCTTGGTTTACCTGTTGTAGCAGCAGCACCTGGCACTGTCCATATGTTCTCTGCTGAGCCCACTTGAGCTTGCAGAGAATGACAGCCCAGATTCTTAGCCAAGAACGGGGAACTCTGGATATTAAGCATAGCAGCCATAATTGAATTTAGAATCCAAAAGCCATTCTAAGATTTGTTTAGGGACAAAATATGCCCATATTTCTATCGCTTGCACCCTTTGGCTTCCCTTTTACTATTCCCCTCCACCACCACCCAGTTCCTTGGCATCGCCTTGTTGGGCCAAGGAATGAATAATTTTTCTTGGAAATAGAAGTTCAGGTCTTAATATTTTGCCATTATAATAACTTTCCAATACTATAGTATCAGATGCTGTTTTTCAATAATAAGTGGATTTTTAAAGCTTTTTTTTTAAAGAGTTCTTTGACCTTGTTGTTTTTTTAATATATACATATTGGTGTGAAGACAGAAATTGTGCTAAAACCTAAAGCTACTTTGGAAGCTCGAAGCGAGTTTATGTTGGAACGGGTTAAGTGTTTTCAGTTTAAACACACACTGTATTTGTTTTTTTGTTTTTTGTTTTGTTTTGTTTTGTTGGTACCAAGTGTTTTCAGTTTATAGCAGTGATATCTGAGGCTGTGAAAAAGAAAGCAGCCATGAAATACATTTTTGCATAAGGGTTTGAAATTTATTACGAGGTAAAAATAATTGAGAAGGCCAAGCCTTTCTCTCTGTGTTATGATAAAAAGTTATTTGTGTGCCATCATCGTGCACCCTCTGGAGCTGGGGTCCTTTTCGGCGGGCATTCTCAGAGAAGCCCAAAGCTGCTCGGCTAGAAAGGCTGACAGAGTGCACAGAAGTTCTGAGGGCCATGGGCTCATTAAAACAATTGGTCATAATGCTTAAACTGCTAGAGCAGCTTAGGAAGTTATGTTCTGTGGCAGCTGCTTACAAAACATATGAACACCCTGCCCTGTTATAATCAATTGGTAGACTCACAAAGTAGTGTTCATTTGTTGGGTTTCCATTAAGACTTTGTGGAGTTTAAGGGCCAGGGATTTACCTTAGTTGTTTTGCCACCTGCTGCGCAAGGACCCGAGTTCGATCCCCAGTACCAAAAAAAAAAAAAGACTTTGTGGAATTTAAACATTCGGAACTAATTTTACAATTCACTCTCCATACACAAATTGTATGAGCTTTGCTTGGTGATTGTAAAGCACTTTGAGATCCTGGATCAAAAGAGACTGCAGGACTGGAGTTAGCTCAGTGATGTAGATCGTGTGCTTAGCATACCTGAGGCCCTGGATTCAATCCCCAGCACCAGAGAAAGGGAGGAGGAGAGCAGGGAGAGAGACAGAGACAGAGACAGAGAGAGGCAGACACAGACAGAATAAAGAAAGAATGAATATGCAAAGATTTTATTAATATTCATGCAGCTATAGTACCTCCTACAGTACCAGTGTGTACCATGTTATCCTCCCATATCTTTTCAACCCCTGAAAGTGAGCTTTGGGGCTTTAAAAAGGAGCCACACTGGCCTCCCCAAAGATCAGCAGACTGTCTCACCACTGAGCAAAAAGAGATCCATTTTTAACTTCTACTCACCAGTATTTTTCAGCCTTCTTAATGCAAGTCCATGACACATAGCCTCCTCCCTTTGATAGATAGGCAGAGTTATTGGTGCCCTTGAATCCTGGCCACCTTTTCACTTTCATCTCTTCTAGATTGAGCTTAGAGCTTTATGTAGTGAAAGGAAGAAAGATTTGTTGACTTAGTTGAGACTTTCCTGTTTCAGTTCCGTGCATTCACATGGGGAGTTAATGGTAATAACCTAATCCAAAGTTCCTGTCTTTTTTAAAAAATAACTTTATTATCAAACACACACACATACAAAAATTAAAGCCATTCAAAGAAGAACAATGAAAGGGAAAAAAACTACAATAGTATTCAAATACAGTAGAACTCAACCAAAACAAAACTGAAAAGCACTTAAACATTTTTCCATATAACTTAAAAAAGCATCTCAAGCACCAGCAAGACACCAGAGGATGTGATTTGTTTCAGAAAGATCCCCTAAACCAACACTGAACAAATAATGATCTGGAAAAAAACTCCAGTTAGTTAGCAGACTCCACATAAGCCCAGCTTCTCCCTAATTTAAATTTCAATACAGTCATATGATATGCAATGGAAACACAATCCAAGAAATATGTTATTAGGCTATTTCATCCATGTGTATCCTTACTTACACTTTCAGTTTCTCACACTAGAGAAACTATTCAGTATTTACACGTGTGTCCTATTTATTTCTCTTAAGAGGATGGCCTCAGTGTGCAGCCATTTAGCAATAAATGTCTCTAGTTTCTCGTTCTTTATGGCTGAGTAGTACTCCATTTTATTTAAAGAAGAAAACCACATCTTCTTTATCCAGCTTCCATTTAATGGGCACTTGGGCTGTTTCCAAGCTTTTGCTATTACGAACTGTGCTGCTATAAACATGGGTGCACATACATCGCTGTGGTATGATTCTTCTAATTCTTCTTCTTTTTTTTTTTTTTTTGGAACCAGGGATCAAACTTGGGTCCTTCCGTTTGCAAGGCAGGTGGCGGAACCACTGAGCTAAATCCCCGGCCCGATTCTTTTAATTCTTTGGGGAAGATACCCAGCAGGTTAATAGCTGGGTCGAATGGGACCTCTAGCCCTAGTTCTTTGAGGTATCTCCATACTGATTTCCACTGTGGTTGCACCAGTCTGCACTCCCACCAACAATGGAGAAGGGTTCCTTTCTCTCCACAACCCCGCCAGCATTTGTTATTGGTTGATTTCTTGATAGCAGCCATTCTTCCTGGGGTGAGGTGGAATCTCAGTGTTGTTTTCATCTGCATCTCTCAAATGACCAGTGATATTGAACATTTTTTCGTATATTTATTTGCTGTTTTTACTTCTTTGTCTGAGAAATTCCTGTTCATATCAGATGTCCATTTTTGAATTGGATCTTTGAATTTGGGGGGTCTGATTTTTTTCAGTTCTTTGTATATTCTAGATAGTAGTCATTTGTCTGAGGTACAGCTGCCGAAAGTTTTTTCCCATATTGTAGGTTGTCTCTTAGCTCTGGTGGTGGTTTCTCTTGCAGTGCACAAGCTTTTTAATAAGATGAGATCCCAGTTGTTGATTCTTTGCAAAGTTCCTGTCTTAATGGAGCGTGTCTGTAACTTGATGACAGCCTGAATTTGCCTCTGGGTTTTGTTTTCCTTGTTTCTCAGGAATTCCAATGCTGAAGATAGTGTTTGCAGGACATGAGCATCTCTCGCTAATCTCCGTGCCCTTGCTCATCTACCACCCAGCTCAGATCCTCCTGGGCAGCATGCTGGTGCCAACGATAAAGTCTTGGATGGTATCAAGGCAGAAGGTGAGACTCCAGAGTGATCTTCCTGGGATCCAGATTAGACAGAAATGTTAGTGCTGGATCCGAACTCTGTACACTTCAGCTCTGCCTAGCACATCATTATTCTTGAATACATATTTTCATGACTAAATACCGTAACAATGGTGCATTGATGAATTTCAATTGGAACAGGACTGAGTGTTTTTAATTAATACAAAAGGCAATCATACCTAGATTGTAGTTTTAAGTTCTCTTTTTACTTCACTCATATCAAAGGGTGTATTTCATGGTGCTCAAGGTGGGCCCCACGCCCTTCTTTGGCACACCATCTCTTTCCCACCGCGCCTTTCACCCGTGCCCTGATTTCACATGCCCTTCTAACCATGGTAGAACCCAGACTTATCTAATGCTTCCTTCAGTTGTCATTTGCAAGACACAGAATTTCTCTGTACAGCACAACTGTTTTTGAGTGATAAATAGAAAAGGAGCCTGCACTTAGTGGGCTTTCACGCGCCTAGTGCGGAGACTTGTTACCCACTAGATCGCTATGGATTTGAGTTCCCAAATCACCAACCGAAGCCAAGTAAGCCACTGATTCAAACAAGTTGAGATGGTAGAACACATGGTACCGCTGTTGGAGCTGGCTCCCTCCCAGCAGCTTGGACTTGCCAGCACTTGCAGTTTTCTGTACGTGAGACAGTGACTGTGATCAGGAGAGATGCGGGAAGAAGAGACATCTGTGACAAGGTGTCCTGAGCCATGTCCCCAGCGTCCTGGACACAGAGGCCACTGTAGTGGCCCCGGTGAGTGTGTGCTAAGCAAGTGTCATTCTTCGCCTGGTTCTGAGGTGGGACCTGACTCAGCTGCCTGAATCACAGCTTATGTACAGTGGCGTTCAGAGCAGACTGCACTGTGTCCATTTTGCAGATCAGGAAGTGAGCTGAGAGAGTTGCCCAAGGCCCTGTGCGGGGCTTTGTTGGTGCTAGATGTAAGACTTAGGGGCCCTGGTTTCTTTCATATCCCAGTCTCTTCCCCCAGCACTGCAGTGACACTGCAGACACAAATAGCATGTTTAGAAGGCTCACGCAGGCCTCCAGGATCGTACTTGAGAAGTTTAGGAGATGCAGTGTATTCACTCATTCAGTTATCAAACAAAATGTTAGTGATGCCTTTCTATATCAGGTGCCATCCAGCTCTGAGCCTCCTGCTCCGAGTTAGGAGAGGAGTGCTTCAGTATCTTCTTTTACTACTCATCCACTTGAAAACTCTCTCTTATATTTATGCATATGTTTATCAATGCATTGTGTGCTTTACCACCCAGAACTTAGAAATTTCCACAAAGGATGGGAAAACTGTCCGAAAATGCTATTCTTATCAGTAATAGCCAGTCATAGTGAACAGCAAATTAATCACCTTTTTTCTTTTAGATGTTCCAAAGCTCTGAGATTTATTCTTCAGAGTAACAGAAGCATTTTCACAAGGGAGACTAAATTGGACAATACTGTTCATTCTACCTTTGCATAGTCTTAGAATAATCCAGGAGGCCTGAAATATTTGACTACTGAAATAAATACAAAGAGTCTATCCTTGCAGTATCCATGATTACCTTCTCTGCTTTGCAGACAGTACTAATGAGACCCATGGCCACCATCTAGTGTAGACCAGAACTACATGAGTAGCCAGGACAGGCTAGGGGAGAAGACACAGTCTGCCGGCCAGGAAGGTGGGCAGGTGAATCTGTATCCGGAGGTTTGGATGATTGATGACATAATGCATCTGTGTGAGCATGTCAGTCAGCATTCCCTTGCTAAAACAAATACCTGAGATGATCTATTTATAAAAAGCTGACTTGGCTCACAATTTGGGAGGTTTCAGTCCATAATCAGTTGGCCTTGTTGCTTTGGGCATGACAACATATGGTGCCAACGTGTAATAGATCAGTACCACTTACCTCATAGCTGGAAATTTAAAAAGAGAAGACCAGGGCTCCACAGTCCCCTTTGAGAGTTTCATCCCAGAGACTGAAGGACCGACTGGAGCCCACCTTGTAAAGGTTCCACTACTTCCCAGTAGCACCAAGCTGGGAACTATGTCTTTAACTCATGGGTCTTTGGGGAAGATTCCAGTTCCAAACTAGCAGTGCGCCTCTTCTTCCTTCTAGAAGTGTAAGTTATCTGGTGTGAACTGATGCTTTCACTTTGCTCATAGACACCGAATAACTGAACAACCTGTTTCCCTTTCTTGCAGGGAGTGAAGTTGACAAGGCCAACGGTATAATGGAGCTGCACTCTCTGTAACCATGTATATATATATATATATACAGGATTGTACATACAAACAGCTCTGAAGACTTGTACTTGTGAATGTTGCTTCAGTGCATATTTTTATTTTTTTATAGAAAAATATGTTATACCTGTTTAAGTGCCTTAAAATTTGTTCAACAAGAGCATTATTTCCAAAACATGCTCCATTGGTTACTGCTAGGGGGTGGTACAGTATTTCAGAGTTAATTTCTGTTTTCCTAATGCAGAAACAGTCCTAAGAGGGACAAAAAGCTACCATACCTTCCCTGTATCACCTTTTGTGCAGTACGACTCTTTAATAGTTACAGTAATGTTTGAAATGAGGTCACACCATCAGGAAAATGCCCTTCTGATGACAGTGAACATTTTCAGAGTTTTCTTCATGCATACTTTGATTCATGGTGTGATTCTTTTTTTTTACAACTGGGACATGCCTCTTCCTTATCAACTCAGCAGGGGTCATGGATTGAATAGATGCTAAAAAGCATAAGATACCTCTGCATTCCTTGACATCATTTTTTTAGACATTCCTTCAAATAGTTTCCACACAGAAATTCTTCAGTTTCATCATAAGAAATTGTGGTGTTGTGTCTTAAATTTATTATAAGCTGCTTCAAAGGAAGGGCCTGATGTTTGAGTTATGAGTGAAGTAAGAATGTGAAGTTTTGAGGTAAACTAAGGAATTTGGTTTTCAGGGTTTTTAATTATATCTCAATGTGTTTTTACTCTTTCTTCTGTAATTTCTTTCTTACCTGCTTCCTACCACACTTGCACACTTATAAAAGCCAAACATGAGGCACACAAAACATGTTCATCAGTTTGAGAACAGCAGCAATTGATGATGGATCATATTCACATTCCACAGTTAAGACCAGAATTATTCTTCTGTCACACAGATGTGCTGAACACTTTCCAAATTTCCTCTTTCAGTGAGAATAGCCTGTTACATCATTGAATTAAGCACACTTAAGACATTTGAGACTTTTTCATAGATTTGAGAAATGTTTGGAACATTCTTTAAAAAGTTAAAATCATATTGCACTTATGAATAAATGAAAACATAGGGGTCACAAATGCAAGCAAATGTTACATAGACACACTCTGTCTAGCCAGATGGGAAGAAAAACTGGCACAAAGAGATATAAGACCATTCGTTAACCAGAATATCAAATATAAATCTGTTCCCAGCTGGACATCAGCTTTCAAAGAGGTATCCAATATTTGCTCTTACTGTGGACCCAAACAGAGAATAAAGCAGTATGTTAAAGCAAGGGAACATTTTTTCTGTGCTTTCCGCACACCATCCTGTTACTTTGTCTCTGTCCTTTCTTGATTTGACACACGATGTCGCGTCCTGGGTATCACTGAGGCCACACTATCCTCAGTAGCTTTCCTTGTGGTTGTGTTGTTGTTATGCTGACAAAAAACCATTCCTTCAAAACTTCCTAAGTTTATCAGCAGTGTAAATTTATGTTATTGTTAGAACTAGGTCTCATGTTTTGTTACTTTGGATTCATTTCTATGTCATTGAACCACGTAGACTTCACAAGAGTCCTACCTGCAAAAACCTATTCTAAACAGGCTGTAATATACAGTTGTTGCATATTACAGTGTCTAAAACGACACTAATTTTGCTTTTTTTTATGCTTATCTATGGAACACAGAAAGGTTTTCATTTTGTTTTTACAAGCTTTCTTGAGTTTTAGAGTAAATGGAAACGTCTGTCTGTCCAAGCTGTCGTAAAAATACTTTTCCCTTTTTATTTGAATACTGATTTTCTTTTCAACTTATCTACCTCTCTTGTCTAACACCTATAGTAGGTGTGATATGGGATAAATTTCAACTGAAAATGCCATGATAACATTCTATCTTTTGCTTTAATGTGTTTTATTTTCAAGTACTCTTCTTTATGTGGTGCATTTTGGTGGCTTAGTGATATGTTTATGGCTTTTTTTAACACAAATGTAGCACATTTTTTCATAAAGAACAAGAAATAAAATTTGTTTTTAATTCATGTTTATTGGGATTTAATTACTCAGATCTTAAAATATTTTTATGTTTATGCACTGTCAATCTGTTCTATGCATTTGTTTTGTCCAAGTGTATTTATAAAAGAAATAAAGTATGTTTATTCATTTTTCCACCTGGATTTTTTTAAAAGGTTGATATGACATTCGATTGTTTAAGGGATGGTAATGTTGATCTTTAACACATTGTAAGTTTTAAATGTTTTGTTTTTTAAAATTCTTCCCTATTCTGTTTAAAATTAACATACCTCTGGTGATGTTCAGTGTTTATGCTAAATACCAAAATTTTTCAAAAGGATGGTTAAGTGATGAAGTAGATTATTTATGATGAATGGAAAAGAGAAATAATTCTATGATTAAACTTCGAAATGTTGAAGAATCACAAGAGAATCTGTGGCTTATTTTTAACCTAATTTCAGATGCACTCACTATGCCTTCCAAGTATGCTTTGGAGTAGCTGCAGCACTGTTGCATCATTTGTGGAAAAATGGAAACTTCTAGACTCTCAGGTACCCAGGCCTCCCCCATTTTATGACATGATGATCCAGACCTGCTCTTTGCTTTTTCATTAGAGATTTATTTCTTGTGCATCAGAGTTGAGGACCAAAAGAGAAACATACATATTTTAGCTACCCTTGCCATATTTTTTAACAATAAGAAAAAAATTTCCACATGCCTTTCCCAAACCCAGTGTTTCTTTGATGACCAAGTTACCTTGTGTAGAACTTCATACCTTTGTGCCCTTGGTTTTTTGAGTCAGGTTCTCACCAGTCCTGGCTGTACCTGTAGCCCAGGCTGGCCTTGAACTCATGGCTGTCTTCCCTTGGCCTCCCATGTGCTGGGATGACAAACATCCACCACCTTGCCCAGCATGCATGTGCTCTTGTCTTTGCTGTCTGACAGAAATTGTCACCTCCTCTGGGAAACTCCTGGCCTCCCAGCCAGTGCTGGACATGGCCCTCAAGTCCCCTGAAACCCTTGTATGTTCTAACCATTAGTTTATGTTTCCGTCTCCTCCAGGGTGCCACTCAACTGCTTTTCTTCTATGCTCCACATGATACCTGGCTTAGAGTAATAGCCTCCCCCCCAAAAAAACCACAAAAGTTTATGGATTTTCCAAACTGTGATCTTTATTTTTAATAGGTAGGATGTGACTACAACATTGTGAGAGCTCTTCCCTACCTATTGATCGTCACTAATTTATAAGTAAATCGGACCTTTTTTACTGCCTTTCCTATCCTGAATAAAACCATGATGTTGGCTGGTGCTGCTCATAGAAGTGCATCACTTTGTACCCGTCCAAATATGAATTCTCCAAGGCAAGACTGCACGAAGGCTGTGCAAAGAGCTTTCACCCTGTATGCTTTGACAGCAGGAAAAGCCCTCAGTAATACAAGCTCAGTCTGATTAGGTTGCTCGGAATGAGTGAGGACATTATTTGCATGAGAAATAAAAGATTTTCTTATAAAAATGTTGATCTATAAAAATTAGGCCAAAAAATTATCATCATCATCATCATCATCAGTTTATATGCTGTATAAAGAATAAAGAAAGTCCTGTAAGACTGTTTTCACTTTCACAAATCTTATTTACACTCTAGGACAGCCTTTCTCAAATGTGAGTGAAACACTAACCTCATTTAAAGCAAAAAGAAAATTCCCACAGACTGGGTGAGTACTTCTCTTGCAACCGGATTATGAGGAGCTCTGACTTCAACGTGCTGTCACTTTCAGTCGGCCGGCGCCAGTGCGGTCAAGGGTGCTGAACTCAGCACCGTGCCCACCTGTCTGGTGGTCACCCTGGAGGAGCCCCGTGGCCATCCCCAGGCCTCTGTCCCCACTGCGCTACCACCCCAGGTCTGCTTGGGCCATGCGTTCACCTTCCCGGACATGGAGTGCGGCTCCCTTCACCTCTCAGCAGATGGGCACACTGGGCGCCTGCATGGACGCACTCACTGCTGAGAGCAGACATCTCCCCACCCGGCTCCTGAGCCCCTCCCTGCCTCTGCGAACTCCCACGGGCCGCCTTCCCCAGCGGCTCCGGAACATGGAGCTGTCTTGGGTGCCATCTCTGCCTTCTTGGATGTGCCTCAGGGCCTCCCTGCATCAGCTGCGGGATGCCTTAAAAAGCCATCTTCCCTTGATGGCTATGGAAGCTGAGAGAAGCTTCAAATTTCTCTCTTTTCTCTAGTTTGGACTGCCTCCCTTTCTTGAACTGGGCACTGGAACAGTCGAGATGAGGATTCATGTATGCCCGGGACAAGACACAACCCAGGGGGGCGGGAAAGAGAAAAGGGGCCATGCTTTTACATCCTCCGCTGGCTCTCTGAGGTGGCCGGGCCCTGTGCTTCTCTCAGGGGCTACTTCAGTCTTCCTGCACATCCCAGCACCAGGGAACCTGTCCTCAGTGTCCAGCACCTCCTGAACGGCTTCGCTGTCAGGCTGTACCAAGTTGCCTTTGTCTGCCTGCCTCTCCCCCTCTTAATGCTTCTCAGTGGGGCCCCCTGCTTGCTTTCTTTCTGTAAGTCTCATAACTAGCAGAATGCCTCCTGCAGAATGTTTACTGAATAAAAGGGTAACCCTTAAGCTCTGTCCTCCATGATGCTCTTTTGATTCTGGAGGACAGATGGCCTCAGGCTGTGAAACGGAGATGGCATGTGACTCCTAATTATCACTCAGTGAATGGAAGTCACCGTACTAATCAATCTACAGATTCTCCTGAAAGGACTTTTTTATAATAAAACAATCAGTACAAATAATGATGAGAACTTCAAGCCCAGAATATCTGAGACCCAGATAATCGCCTCTAGACCCACATTTCTTGTGGCTTCCACTGGCTGGTAGCCATGCAAAGGTCCTGAGGAGGCCTAGGCACCCAGCTCATGAGGAGCATAAGGCTTCAGGCCCCATGTGAATGAATCAGGCCTTTCTTGCCTGCTATTTCTCTGCTTTTATTCCTTATTTCCCTGGATACAAACGCATTCCTTGTTCACACAGGAATGTGAACATTCAGCCTGATGCTAAGCTAGAACCTATCCAAAATTTACCTGCTTGAAGATAAAGCATAGCAGGTACAAGAGAGAAAGTGCTGGGCCAAGAATAACAAGGTGCAGATAGCTGGTTATTTTACAGGGAGCCCTACATCTGGCCTTTTACCACTGGGTCATAGGTTCAAATCCAACCAGGCCTCGCCTGACAGAAAATCATTAACAACTCTGCATCAGGCTGCTTGACAGATGGGAAATGAGTTTCTGTCTGCATCTAGCAGGCAAGTGTCCACATCATGCTTGGCACTAAGCAGCCCTCGACACCCTGGAGTCAGAGTAGAAGTCCTGCAAATGTTGCCCTGGGTCAGGCAGGGCTCTGCGGTCAGGCCTCTCTGCCAAAACGGGGCTGGGGGAGGGGGGCGCTGACAGCTCCCTTTCCTGGCCCTTTCATGAGCATGTTGTTAATCAGTTGGTTTTCTCACTCCCTCGGAAGGCTTTGTTGGACGCACGGTTTGAAATAAGGGAATAACAGAGAAGATCTGATTCTGCAGCACTGAAGGAAGAGCAGCCAAAATCACAAGAGAAAAATATCCAAAAGAGGACATTTTCATCTTTGCCCTCGATTGAGTTACATCACTTAAATGGCTCACAGCTGCCACCATTTTAATAACAAAGGGAAGGATTTTCAGAGGAATCTTTGGGGCCAGGTCTGTCTTCTCCTCCTCTCCCCAGTGCCCCATGTGTAACCGCTCCCTCCCAGAGACCCCCAAGGCCTGCAGTTGGACTTGATGACTGCCTGGATGGTGGCTCTCACAGGGTCTCTGACTCTTCAGTTAATACAGTTACAGGGGCCCTGGGTAGAGCTGGGAAGAACAGCATGGGCTCGGACAACGTCTGGGGAGCACTAGTGAGAGGAGGGCCGGTCTGATCCTGCCAGCAGTGGCCTGGTCGAGGAGGGCTCGTGTCAGACTCCACATTGGCACTGGCTGAGCTCACTCTTGTGCTGCACACAGAAGCCTCAGGTGGGTAGGGCAGGGCTGTGCTGGGCTGGGTTGCTGAATATCTGTCCACATGGAAGCCTCAGAGCTACCTGGCAGGATAGGCAGGCAGGGCCAAGTGGCTTTCACTCTGAAGCTCTCTGGATGAGTACCGCTGGACACAATGCTCTCTAAGGCAGTGATGATGAACCTCTTAGAGCTTTTTAATGGTAACGAACAGCTAGCTGCACCAGGCATGCCATAGGTTCACCACCACTGCTCTAGGGTATTGAGTTACTCAGATTTCTGTTACTATAACAGATACCTGAGATAATTCAACTTGTCAAGAGGAAAGTTTTATTTTGGCTCACAGTTTCGAAAATTTCAGTCCATGGCCACTCGGCCTCACTGCTTTTGGACTTGTAGCAGCATAGTACATCATGGTGGGAGCATGTGTTGGAGGAGGCTGTTCACATCATGGCAGCCAGGAAGCAAAAAGACAGATAGGAAGGATCTATCCCTTTCAATGCACCCCCCAATAACCTAACTTCTTCCCCCTAGGCTCCATCTCCCATAGGTTCTACCACCTCCCATAGTACCATGGTCTGCGAACCTTTAACACACAGGCTTTTAGAGGGCATTTATCCAAATTTTGGTAGGTATGTTGCTTTCACCCCTTTTCTTCTCTCTTAAACCATCTAAGCCAACAATCTTAAAGCTATTTCAAGCTTAGAAAGACCATTTCTTCCCTTCCTGTGCACAGACAGGCCCAACAAAACCCTTATAAGAGAATCTATTCAACACCTGCAGAATGTACTTCTAATGCACCTTAGTGGTAGCAGCTCACCTGCCTGCTGGACCGTTCTGGTAAATACACACAGGACTTAACCAAGCTACCTACTCCCACGGGCTCTTCTCTCTCCTGGGGCCACAAGGCCTGACAACACTGTGTCATTTCAGCCTGGGCCTTGGAGAACTTCATCAAAGAAGCTGTCCTTATTTTTTATTTTTTAACTCTTCCAGGGATTGCTGCAGAGGCTCCTCTCCTATGTTCTCCAAGGAACAACCAGTTACCCAGGACCCTTGAGCCCTGGACAGAGGAGTCCACTTGTCAGTTTGTGTCCAACCCCAAAGAAGGTGCTGCCTGGAGACCCCTGTCAGTCAGCACAGGACTGTGTCTTCCTTTCTGTTGGCCAAGGTCAGCACCTCCCAGTGGACTGGCCCCTATCAGAGTGCTATGACGGTTTCTCCAACACAGCTCACCCACCTCGTGGGAAGCTGGTAGAGACATGTGGTGGAATCTTCTGAGAAACTGCTAGGAACAAAGGGCTATGCCATGTTTCTGTGCGAGGGAGACCCACTTTCTGCTCTGCCCGTTTAGCTCTGATTGTTAAAGGGGAACAAGGCTCCCTGACCTGG